CCTCGCCTTTCCGAGCCCCCTTGAAGCGGATCTCCAGCCGGCCGCACAGCTCCTCCCGCAAGAGAAATAAAGGCAAGAGGTGAGTGCGGGGAGGGACCAGCTCCTGTTTCCCCTGTCCGTGCGGAGAGCAGCACACCAGGAGATCTCCCAGCCCAGAGCACGCTAGAACACAGATCCTGGCAGAGTGCAGAAACTGCATGTCGGCAGACAATTCCCTCTACGGAAAACCAGGTATTTTCCGATTGAGAAGGCATATGAGTGGGGTTCTCAGTTCCAGCCCTTGAGAGCTCCCAGCATCTCCTGGGTTCTGACCCGGCGGTGCTCTTAGATCTGTACAGGTAGCTGACCCCCTTAAATGAACTGTGGATCTGATTCATTAGACCTCTTCAACTGTTCTCTGCTCTGACGTGCTGGATGTTTCCTCTGAACCGTTCCATGAAGAGCCGACAGCCTTGCAGAAGCCCGTTTCTTTATTAAAGGTTGAATTAAGCTACAGACGTTACAGAAGGTGTGTGTGAGTGCCAAACACTGGCATTAGGAAGCCCTGCTGACCAGCACTGAGGCTGTCCAGTAAACAGACAGAGCAGCTTGTTAGGAAACCGCCCACAGGTATGAGGGGCTTCGATTGCAGGGAGAGTGGGGTCCCTGACACCCTATCAGGATACAGAACAGTTCCCCCGGTCATTGTGAGCCCACTAGCCCCAAAAACAGTTCCCATGCTACCCTGCCACCTCTCTCCCAACAGGAGGCGTGTCTCCACCCCCATCGACTCCATCGGCACCTCTGTGTTCTCCAGCCACAAAAGCCAGAAGGTGAGCAAGGCACTGAGTAAATGTGTCATAATAATAAAATAATAATAATTGTTTAAACTTATATAGCGCTTTTCTGGACACTCCACCCAAAGCACTTTACAGGTAATGGGGACTCCCTTCCACCACAATCAATGTGTGCCCTCACCAGGATGATGCGATAGTGCACACTGTACACTCACACCAGCTATTAGTGGGGAGGACAGCAGAGTAATGAAGCCAGTTCGGAGATGGGGATCATTAGGAGGCCATGAATGTTTTTTGCCCAGGACGCCGGAGTAACACCCCTACTCAAGAAATGTCCCGGGATTTTTAAAGAGAGTCAGAACCTCAGTTTTATTTCTCATTTAAAGGACGGTGCCTTTTTACAGTATAGTGTCCCCATGACTATTCTAGGGTTATTAGGACCCACACAGACCACAGGGTGAGCGCCCCCTGCAGGCCCCACTAACACCTCTTGCAGCAGCAACCTTAGTTTTTCCAGAAGGTCTCCCATCCAGGTACTGGCCAGGCTCACACCTGCTGAGCTGCAGTGGGGCTGCCAGCTGGGAGTGTCAGGGTGATACGGCTGCTGGTTGAGTAAATGAGTAAGTCCTCAAGCACTTTGCTAAGCAGCCTTGGAGAAACCAGAGGGTAGCCATGCATCAGTACCCGCGCCTGCAGTGGCTGGCAGAGCAGGAAGGGCTTCAGGGGTGTGCCAGCTTGGGGGTGCTCATGAGGTGACGGGGGGGGGCAGGAATGAGGGACAGAACCGGACGGTACCGTTGCTGCCTGACGCAGGTCATCTTCACATCCTTCTCCCTTCATCCGCCTTCCATAGGACGACCCCGAAGACTACTGGGAGTACTACACAGATGCTGCTGCAGAGGTGGAGGCCCATGCGTGGGGAGTGGAGGTGTTACCAACACTAAATTAACACCAGGCAAAAAAAAAAAAAATATATATTCCAAAAGATAACGTCCAACCTGCCTATTGCTGACAAGCACACATGGTGTGTGTGTGTGCGCACCTGACTGTGGGCAAGGCTGGTCCCACTATTGCAGCTTTCCTCGCCAATAACTGCTTCAGTTGCAATTAAGCCTCAGTCTAAACAATGGGATCAATATATTTTAATCCCTAAAAAAAAAAGAAAATCTGAATAGCACTGAACCGCTTTCTTTTCACATTTGACATTACAAAAAAAAGCCGGGGTCGCCTGTTGAAGCCAGAAACTGCGGAAGTGAACGACTGATGCGCCCCCTTGCGGTCGTGTATGGAAACACCAGGAGTCATTTCTGTCTGCGGTTTTTTTTTTATGTATCCACAACTTTACAAATATTTACGCAAACCGTAAATAGTTTTTTTAATTCTATACAGTAAGCCATTTATTAAAAGAAATTCAGGTTGACTCCGCTTCTATTCAATGCTGGTATTTTGAGATGATCAGTAGAATTAAACACCTTAAAAAGACCTGGGGACACGTTGATTTTGCTAGGCCTGCGTTCGACTTGTTTTTCACAAACTCATCGGCAGAGTTGCTTCAAGACCAGTGGGTGCCGGCGGGACACAGCCCGGGTTCAACTCGCCATTCGTGGCTCCTGGAGTTGAAAGTGCTGGGCAGAGCAGCAGTACACAGAGCTCTGCAGTTAGGGGAAGGTTCTGTACTAAGAATATACAGTTCTCTTTAAGATCAACTTGGCCCATCTGGACATGCATGCAATGCTGAATGTTATTAATTTACCCAGATGCTTGAGTCTCTTCCCTGCTTTTTGTTCTCCCTCCTTTGAGTCTTATCTCTCAACACTTTAGCAATGTCAACTTCACTTGCCCTACGCCCTGCTTCAATGTCAACTGTGTTATTAGGTGCGGCTGTCGTTTTTAGATTGTTGTTTGGAGGTGAGGAAAGAAACTGACAAATAAGACCACTGTATGAATGGTTCAGGAGAGGAGATACAGAAAACTACTGGGGGTAGGGAGGGGGGTACCCCACAATCGGGAGTTAGGGGCACTACCGGAGCAGGTCGAATCAGGAACCACAGCTCGTGTCTCGACAAAGTGAGCACCTGTGTCTTCACGGGGCTATCAGCCGTACCCTTTCCAAACGCCTTCCAGGCACAAGCAAGACACAAACACACCCAACAGGTTCGAATAAGATCCCCCAAAAAATTTATTTCTCAAGCAGGATTTCCTAAAGAAAACCACATCCGATGCCAAAAATATAACATCCACTTTGCTTTGTCTTTTACTCTCACATATGTACAACCTCAGGGACAATCTATGTACAGAGGCTGTGGAGGCAGATGCCCTGACTGCCCCCCCTGTATACGCCAAAATTAACAAACACAAAAACCTGCCAACAGCAGCATTAACATTTCTGTACACAAAAAAACAACAACAAAGAACTCCAAACACTTGAAGAAATAAAGGAGGGGATGGTCAAGGGCTACTTGGCATTGCAGTCCTGTCCGACAGTCCCAGCAGCAGAGCTCCTTATCCGCTGGGAAGAGACCTCTTGCAATGGAATCGAGACAAAAAGAAAAAAAAAAACAATTCTGCACAATGGGGAAACTAAAGAAAAAGTTTTTTTTTTCTCAACCCTGCTGGAATCTTTCACCTCCTCTCCTTGCCTTCTGTAAGATGCTGAACAGCCTCGCAGTGTCATAGTGAAGGGGGGCCAAGGCACGGACAGAGAGACCGGACACACTCAGGAGCTGGGACACGGGTGGGAGCAGGAGACCTAAACCAAAAAAACAAAATCGGGGGGCCTGCCAGAGGACGCTGGCCGGTCAGGAAGTCAGGAGGGTGGGAGGTCGTTAAGTGCTTTCAGACGGTGCACGCCAAGCTCTGCAAAATCCGACGAGCCGGACTGAAGCAGCTCTGCCGTGGAACAACCTCGCTCTCGGAGGACGGCGGGTCCGAAAAGACCCCACCCCACCACAGACCTTTATCCGCTCTCGTTTTACTGAGCAGCCTGCCTTTCCGAACTCCTCTCTGCTTCTCAATTGGAATTCAAGGCAAAGCTCCACCCCTTGGGGGTCAACCGTTTTTGTGTCCTTGTCATTAACAATGGTGGTGGGAGGGGCTGTTTCAGAAAGAGATACAGCCTGCAAGATGTATTTTCTATTCAGAAATCATAGCTGGCTCCAGTTCCAGCTTCCTGCTCCTTTTCAAACAACAGTGGATCTGTGGCTTCTTCACAGGTGTGCTGGGACACAGGCTGAGGAAACGTCCCTCCCCGCCCCGTCAAAAGACTTCCTTCACGGTTGCACCGGCAGGACAATTCTTCCCAAACCCGGGAGCACAAAATCTCCGTTGATTGTCGACAGCTCCAAAAAAAAAAAAATCAGGGAAAACATGAAGTGCAAAACGGGCAGAGGAATTCCGAAGCTAACATAACTTCGGGATCAGGACACCTGAGAACTTGCATCTTGAAGTTACAACAACACAGCCCTTTTTCCAGTTCAGATTTACACGCATGTAAAACAGCTGTGACCTTCAGCCCTGGCAACCTGACCTCCAACACTTGCTGCTTTTTCCTTTTCCAGTCCAGAGTAACAGATGGGGCCTGGTTTGTTTGGGGAAGCAGCTCCAGGCAGCCGAGCCCCTCACTCTGCAAAGGAGCTTGACTTGCCAGCATCCCCACCCCACCTTACAAACCCCCCTACCTGCCTTACTGTCTCCCCCCCGCCCCGATCTCACCACACTCCTCACCGCAACTACCCCCCAATCATTCCACGTTCCCAGCTGCACCTGGGACCCACAAGGAGAATTCAGCTTGCTCCCCTTAGGTACCCTGAACCCCAAAGATCGAGAGACAGGACAAAGACAGAGTATAAGGAAATCAACAGAAAAGCTTATATAAGGTTCCTTTTATCAAGTATTTCTGAAAAAAAAGTGGCATGGGACAATGTGCAACTCTACCTGCACTTATCGCCATTATGTACTTACAGCGCACCTCAGAACAGGCACTCTCAGTGTGGCTATGTGTATCAAACACCAAGTTAAAATTTCCCCCACTTCAGTGACTTGAAGCATGTTGCACACAGAGATAGTGAACACGTTGCAATCCTTAGTAAAGAGATCTCTTTTGCAGTTAAGGGGCTGCTTGCCACCTGGGCCCACCCCCAGCACTGCCACTGAGGCAGCCTGGCACACAGAGAGGGCAGTCTGGAGAAGAGGAGAGGCGGAGGGCATTGACCGATGGCTTCTTCGTCCTTGTGTGCAAGTGTGGGTAGGGACGGGGGACGCGGGAGGGTGGGCCCTCATCTTCAGGGGTCTTTCTTGTGCCCCGAGCGCCGGTCCTGCCGAGAGTCCCTGCACTTGTGGCAGTAAAAGATGTCGGGCACATTGGATTTCTTAATCTTGGCGCAGGACAAGTGCACCCAGACGCCGCACTGGTTGCACTCGATCATGGGACGTCCTGCGAAGGGCTTGCCGCAGTAGCAGGTGATCAGGTGCCACGAGTCGTCCCCTGGGAGGAGACAAGACACCAGGTTAGGAAATCAAACCTTTTCTGAGAAATCCTAACACTGTGGCCTCAGAGAACTGCCTACATACTGTACTTTATCCAGCTCCTAATTAAGGCAAGCAAGTGTAGTTCAGGCACTTCCAATTATTTGCCTACACTGTATAAAAATCACCCAAGCCAACTCTTTCCCACCCCAATTCCTGCAGTATTTGGGCAATACTACGACATGGTGTGGGGATCTTGGGTGTGCCGAAGCCATTATGATGCACAATCTGGACTTGCATCAAGATCACTTCTAGAATTCAGGAGTCGGTTGGTCACATTAATGTAGTCGGCGCTTATGATTACGGCATGAAGTCGTCACACTTTCTTAACTCACCTGATTCCACCATGATGTCTTCATCCGCGATCCAAGTCTCGCCCTCACTGGAGCTGAGCTCCGCCTCCCGGGTTGACTCCCCACCAAGCATTTCCACCAGCCCCTCCCCTCCACTCTGATTGGCCTTCCTGGGCTCCGTCGGCTCCTCCGCGGGACTGTGCCCCTCCTCCTGGGCGGGGCCCGTCTCAGAGTCCGTTTCGCTGTGGGCGGAGCTGCTCTTGAGCTTCTTCAGGCCCTTGGTGGGCTTGGGGTTTTTGCTGCGCTTGATGCGCGCACGCTTCTCCTCCCTCCCGCCCAGGGACAACTTTTTCAGCTTCTTGTCTTTCTTGCGCTCCGCCTTGGGGCCTGCGCTGCGCTGGCCCTCGAACAGGGAGTCCTTCAGCCTCATCTTGTCCAGCAGGGTGCTGTCCGAGTGAAGCCGCCGCAGGCTCTTGCCCTTGGAGGCACGGGCCTTCCTCACGAAGGTCTGGATAGTGTGCAAGTCGGAGGCGGCGTGCGGCCAGCCCTCCACGCCCACTCCTTCCCCTGAAACACCAGAGCTGCTGTTGGGGGAGCTGGAGGAGGCTGGAGACCATGAGGGCTCCTGGAAAACAAGCAAGGAGGGAGTCTGCAGTTTAAAAGAGCACCACACTGACTGCTGGGACTAATTGCGTTAGCAATTGTAAAGAATGCTGCACCGAGGCAAAACATATTAAACGCGTATTGTTGGCCAACAAAAAAACAGGAAGGGCAACAAGCATAAACAACAAGTAAGGTGCAACACTGCCAAGAGGCTGAAGAGTGATCAGACCAGATCTTCTTCTCTTTCCCACAACAGCTCATAGCTAAACTCACCAGTTTTCAAAACTAGTCACTTCTAACAGTGCCTGCTATGAAGAATGTGGGGGGAAAGTTATCCGTGTTGCAATTTCCGCTGAAGCCAATCAGTGGGGCTAGGTGCACCACAGCAGAAAATCTTTGCAAAACCCCCGACTGCTGGAGTTATTGGTTCCCATGGTAAAGAGCATGTAAAACAACCCCAGGGGGCAGCAGAATGAGCCAGAGAGAACACAAACGCACAGACACCAGTGTAGCAGCTATGGTACAGAAGCTGTCCTGGAGGATCACGTTCATCCAGAACAGCTTCTGTACCAAAGCTGCACCATTGGAGCAGGACACCTCACCCACTGCTGCCTGTGTGCAGAGAGTCTTCCTGTCTCCTCTACCCCAGAGCCCTGTCACCCTGCTTCTCAGGAAAACCCAGCCCAAAACGCATCCTCACCTCTTTGGTGGAAGGGATGTAGCCGGCGTAGGCTAAGACAAAGCTGCAGAACTTATTGAAGTCTTCTACTGTCCTCTTCCTCCTCTCTGGGGGCTGAAAGACAGATCACATCAGCACAGGGCCAGGCTGCTGCACACATATTCAGGAGGATTAGGACAACAGGCCTTCTGAATCAAAAGTCTCTAAACCTCTTTTTTTGTATCCACTGGGATAAACCAGCTATGCCTGGTTATACCAAACAGATCAGCTCGTTATGCTTTTTTTTCGTAAATATTTCTGGAAACAGAGCTGCACTTCCCTGGCTGTTAGGAATAGCAGGCTTACAAATAACCACTGGGCATGCTTCTCCATCTGAAACACTCCCTTGTGCCACCACGGCAAGCACAATTGCTCGTAAGGACTCTTATCTCTCACGGGCACGAAGACTGAGCTAGCAAAACTGCCAGCCACAACATGGAGAAGAGAAACCAGTTACTGGATTGTAGTTACTGGATGGGCCCGCGTCCACTCGATCCGGCGACGACGGTACCGGACCTCCAGATCTGTCCAGGCCACCCCTCCCAGGCTCTCCTGCACCCCGATCCCGGTGAGAGCACGCTCCGGGTACAACGGCTTCATCGTCGTCACCCTCTCTCTCCCTGGAGCGGCATCTTCTATTATCGCCGCCGCCAGCAGGCAATGCCTTCTCCACTCCGGACCACGCACCGGAGTCGGGCCGCGCTCTCTCCTTACAATTCAAGCGGGTTTGAAGGTAAAAGCCCCCCCCGCCCACCACAATCCACAGCAGATGCTGGCTATTTCCAGCCCGTGAGCCGATTCCCAATTCATCTGCAGAACAGACGCGTCCGGTTCGGCGGCTTCCCTCCATGCAATCGGTACCGGAACCGGACACGGGACGCAATGCACGTTACAGAGCGTTTGCAAGGGATTCCGTTCCTAAGGTTACACGGGCAATCGCCACACAAACGACACATCATGCAGAAGTCGTCCTTGCGATGACGTTCAGTTCTTGAAAGCAGCTTCCTCCGGCCCAGCCTAGAACCCGTCACACTCGGTGCAGACGCTGAGAGACGACTGCCGTGACAGCGTTATAGCAGATCTCAGCGAGCCCAGGCGCACTTCACAGCGTCACTGGCCTCAGTTCATCCGGGCTGTAGCCGGCACCCACCCACCCGGCTAGATAACGAGCGCTCTGGGGTGGACCGCGGTCACGACTCGGAAAACCCCACGGTGGAATCCCGTCGGCTCAGTTCGCCCTCCTCAGAACTACTGATTTATCCCGTCCGATCACACAGCGCCCCCCCTTCCCAAAGCAAGGCGGAAAAGCAGACGGGAGTCCCCGACACAGAGAAACCGCCTCGCCGTTGGTCTCCACTCAGAAGCAGCCGGAGCCGCATGCGTCATGTGACTCCCAACTCGCCAAAGATAAACACTCCATTATTATTATCTGCCGCTGCTACTCACCAGAGGCTCCGATTTGCATTTCAGGAGGGTATCTGTAAGAAAAGAAAAAAAAAGTTTGTTTTTCCCCCCCTTTTAAAAAAAAATGAAACACTTGGTCGATCGACGCGACAAAGGGTTCCTCCACTCAGCCACGTTTCTGCCCCTGATCCGCAGCCCAGCTCCCGGGAGGTGACGGTGCGCCTCGGCCCCCGGTGTGCTGCGATCGTTTTAAGACTGGAGATCAGAAATGTACCGAATGTGAAGTTTCTCCACCGAAAACCCCGCCACCCGACGTCTGCAGCCCCCGAGTGGAGAGCTGGGACGCTTTCTGCTCACACGCCTGCCTGCCATTCCTGCGCCGGGCTCAGGGCGGCAAGCTCGCATCCGACGGGGCCCGATGAGCTTTTCTGGGGCTTTCAGCGGCGGTATCGGAGCCCAATTTTGGGGGGGACCTTTTCCTCTCGCCCCGGGTCCCAGCAACCGGAGCCCCCTCAACCAACCAACCAACCAACCAACCCACACACCACCTCCCCTCACAAAACATAACCCTCATGCGAGGGCGAATCGAAAACCGTGCCCGGGCGCAAGACGAGACGGATCCGGGCACAAGGCAAGCGAGGGAAGAGAAGCGGAGAAACTGATTTAATTTTTATTTTTAGTTGTTGTTTTTTTTTTTGGACTCGGCTCACCCAGAACACGATCACCCCTCCTGTCTCGGGGGGGGGGGGGGGGGGGGACGGGACACCAGACGGCACTTTCCACCCCCCTGTCGTGTCAGCTTGTGACAATGAGAGAAGAATCAGGCTGCGGCTCAACCCGTCTACAAACTCCCCTCGTCAAAGGCCACCATCATAATTAAAGATCGTCGGTGCCGTGCGTGTCTGGCGGGGCTCGGATTCAATTATTCTTTGCCCTACGCCACTCGAAACAACTGCCTATCGCGAAAACAGACAAAGCGCCCGCAGACCGGCTCGGCTTGCGCCACGATTGTCTTTCCGCACTCGGGTTTTTAGAAGCCATCCGTACTGGGTCTGGGTCTAATAATGAAATCACGGTACCTTGATGCTCGGCCATAATTTCGAGCATTGTCGCCTGAGGCCTCGCTCCACACCGGGCTGCGGGGAGACTCACTCCCGGCTCTCCGGAGCCTCAGCCCCGGCCCGGGGACGAAAAGGCTGCCGCTGGAGGCGTTTAAAAACCGCCCTTTTCCAAAAAAAAAAAATCCTCCCGAGACTCACAGCGCTTTCGAAGCAGGCAATCCACCTTCGTGCCCCCCCCCTCTCCACACTTTAAAAATCCGGATCCCCCCGACTGTCCCTTCCGAAGAACCGCTATCCCAAATAAAGAGAAAAAAAATGTTTCTTCGTCACAACGCTGTCGAAAATCTTCCCTGCCCGAGCCAACTTCAAATAAGTCCCTTCGCAAAGAACTGTCAGCGGCCGTTAAAGTTCCACTCTGGCTGAAACTCAGTTGATATTTTCTGGGGGGGAGGGAAGATAACCTTTTTGTTTTCGAACATATGAAAGTTCCCAAATTTTGTCTCCGTGTCGTCTTCAGCGCGCCTCACTCCAACACCACCATTAACTCACTGTCAACTGACTCCACGGCGACCTCTTGCGGTTGCTGCGGAAGCTGCCGTAGAGCGCCTTCAATTCTGGGAGATGTAGTCCAATCGCGGCAGTTAGGGCTCTGCGAGGCGCCTGACGGGAACGCAAAAGAAAATACATTCTCCATCTACACCGCTGGGAACGTCACCTTTTGAGGGGCATCCTGGGAGATGAGGTTCTATTGGTTACACCGAGCCATTGACAGGCATTAGAAAAGAAACAAAGAGAAACTACATCTCCCATTTTAGCAAACGGAAGCTTTTTTTTAATTGTGCTGTTTAATTTGGAAAGTATTTTTGAACAACTACAAAGCTACTTATTCTAAAGATTTATGTTACCCTTGTTGTCTTTCTTCTGGCTAAAAGCGGAGTGGAATCTGGGGAGTATAATCACCAGGCTTGTCATTCCGTTTGGAGAATGATGTGAAATGAATACACACTGCCTCGTTACTTGAGCTGAAGGCAGACTATAACTTGCTGTTTCTGTACGATAGTGAGTATTGAATACTCAGGATGTGAGTAACTTTATACGTTATCGTGAAAGTCAAAACTCATCTGCGTGTACGTTCATCTTTTTTACAAACTTGAAAAATGACTGATTTTATAACAAAGATGGAACATTACATTTTATGTTATCGTATAGTTATTTTCAAACTTCCTTTCTTCAGATGCGCCTTGGGACCAAAATGCATGACAGAATGACAATACTGTACTTCTCACTGTTTCCATCATAGTCTGTACAGGCCCTCGATCCTCGGCGTAGAGTGGAGAGCCGATCCGGCGCTAAAGCGCGAAGAGAGCGCATGGTGGAGAGGCCAAGCCTCGTTGTGTGCTGCGGGGTTACCGAGGGAGTCTGGCCTTTGTATCGGCGGACTGTTCCCCCGTAAACTCGGTTATGTTGCTTGAAATAATCGATGGAACGGAAGGGGGAGGACTTGTCGTCATTAAAGGTAAATAAAAACAGAAGAGAGGAATAAGGGAAGTATGTTGTTTTTTTTAGCGAACAGCTCCATTGAATATAGAGAGTTGGGCCCCACCGGCGCGTTTACACCAACAACGTTCACTCGTCCCATTTTACCTCCGTGGTTATCGTTTTCCTCAAATTACGTCCTCTAGCAAAAGAAAGAAATACAGTGTAACAGTGAAACAGTATTTTGAAATTAATGTAGAAATGGTAAATTGACCACAGAACCAGTCAAACCACAGTGCAGCGCACACCAGCTCGATGACTTTCCCCGAGTTATTTCATCTTTTCATTATATGGTAATCGGATCATTTTTTGTTATAACCCTTCTTGCTGGCGTTATATAAAACTGAATTATTAGTCTCCACGAATACCCGTACCCTAGATTACATTAACAGGGAGTCATATGAGGTCTATGGTTCTCCTTCTGGTAGTTTTGTAGCTCTCATTAATTCATCTGTGTTTTAACGACTAGGTGGACTTGTAAGTTATTGGTCAATTAAGCAAGTTATTTGCTCAGTTAAGGGAACTGGTTCCAAATGATCACTAAATTACTTATAACAAATAACCTGTTTCTTCGACTCAATTTAAATAAATTTAGAAATGGAGGGTTTAGCACAGGGGTCTCAGACATAATACCTGGAGTAGATTTTTTTTTTGCCCACCATCTTTGGGTTTTTGTTCAATCCCTGATCTCACTTACGTAATTGGCCTAATTATTTAATTAGCTGCATAACTGAGATATGTCTAAAAAGGACCCAAATTAATTTATAAGTAACTGTAGCTAAAAATGAATGGAATGTCTTTTGTGAGCAGTAGTTAAATAGCTGAAGAAAAATCCTTGTTTGTTTATTAACTAGTCAGGTTGGAACTAAATGCAGAAGAGGCCAGGACATCCAGGATTTGAATTTGAGACCCCTGGGTTACATATAAAACATACTGGACTGGGGCTCCTCAGAACTCAGGCTTGGATACCTCTGGTCAAAACACAGAGTTTAACAGGCCTGTCCCAGGTGGAATGATTATTACAAGGACATGGATTGCACGGATGTCTTTTTTGGAAACTGTATGTGTTCTCCACCTATTGCATTTTAATTGCATTCTAAGCAATCCTTGTAAGTTACTTCCCCACCAGGACTCTTTTGTACACAGTTTCATCATTCTATGTTCATGTGATCTTCTGCTAGAATTGCACTATGAGGTGTTATTACAGTTGCGCAATCGTCACTGGGTGATTGTAAAAACATTTGTGCCATAATCCAGTAAGTTAACAGAGATCACTGAGGTGAATTATCCATCCAGAACTACTACTGCAGAGTTAGTGATTCAGCGGACTTTGGTTTGACATTTCCTTCCCTGACGGACAAGGGGGTTCAGTGACTTGCTAAGGTGGACACAAAAACAGAGTTTCGGGGGCAGATTTGGGGTACTCTTAACTGGGAGCTCTGCCTTAACAACTGGACCACCTAGTCTTCTTCTGAATACAGTATCGCAGTAACTACAGTGTTCTGCTAACTGTGTAGCTATTATTGGATTTTTAATTCGGACTGTTCCTTCCCCTGCCTCACCAGATCTGAGTTTAATAGCAAAAACACACGGTGATATGACTAGATGACTTTGGATTGCAGTTTCCACTCTGGGTCTGGGCTGATTAATCCTGCTTACCTGAGTCAATATAATTCCCTGTTTGTTATTCTTCTTCCTTTCCTACCCTCCTTCTTGTTTTACCCCAGACTCTGTGAACTGCCCCGGCCGATGCCTTCTGAAGAGCTGCGTCAATGCTGCACTGAGACGGTGAGATAGCCTGTCCGCTGGCATCTTCTTTGTGCCAAGTGGGGGAAGAAAAAGAATTAAATAGTCATTTTTTTATCATACACCCACCTTATTTGGAGGCACAACATTCTTTTTTAAGTTTCTGGTCTGTAGTACCCTCTCCGGCACCTGCAGGGGAGAGAATGTTGATTACTCAGAGTGAAGGATCTGGACAGATTGTGTTCTTCCCACGTTCAGTCCCAGACGTTTGCAGGTTTTGATCCGATTGGCTACTTGAAATTCCCTCCCAGTCTCTGGCTGAGGGACTTTAGAGAACTAGGACCCAGTGAAGACGATGGGTCTGATGTCGCCTGTGTTTCAGGAAGGAGTCTGTCCATGTTCTGGGGTTTGATGTCTCTGAAGAGGAGCTGCGGGCTGGGCTGGATGGTGAAGCAGCCAAAAGGTGGGAGAGAATTAAGTCCTGTACTTCATTCCCTGTTGATCCCATCAAACATCCCCGTCTGAAGGTGGCATCACTTGGTTTTGCTGCAGACTTGACCCTGCGAAATAAAATTATGATCTCCACTGAAAATGTTCCCTTTACCTGTCTGTGTCAGTCGTTTCTATTATTATTCTTTAGTTAACATTTATTTAAGGGTGGGGCAGGCAGCCCTGGTCATGGGGGGTAGCTGCACATTTTCATTCCAGCTCGGCTCTTAAACATCTCCATCAGCTCATTATTTTCTTAATCAGACCAATTTAGCAACTTCTCCCATGTCATCAGCTGGCAGAGCTTTGCAGATGTGGCAGCCCTTCAGGTCCAAGATTAGGGGCACCTGACCTAAAATGACCTACATTAGAAGATTTTTTAAGAAACACAATAGTAAAGAGGCAATCTCCTACATGTTTAAACTGAAAAAACAAATGAGCAGTTGTGTGGGTTCCCAGATGTTGAATGCGGAGTCCCTGAGGTAGGGTATTGCAAGAAAGGAAGCAAGCTTAACAAGAGGTATAAGCCAGATCATTTTTGTGTTTGAAAAATAGCCATTTGGGTCTAAGAGCAAAACCTTTGGCCAAATAATGCTTTATTTGAGCTCTTGAGTCCATGCAATGGCTGACTATGAAATTGCCCTTTAGCTTTCGAGATCTGACCAGGTCGATCTTCAGGATGGCCTGTCTCAGCTTCCTGAATTCCTGTTCTCTGTCTTTCCCTTCCCCACCTCCGCCCCCACCCTTTCCCGGCAGTCTGGTGTTCCACAACGGATACACGGACCCCCTCTGCTGGACCGGGATGGGGACGGGCCAGCTCACGGCACTCCACTTCTCTGCCCAGGAAATCCGGGCACGAATCAGCCAGTCCAGGGGGCCCGAGCCGGTGACGCTGGCTGTGGATTCGCTGTCCTGGGTACTGCGGCACAACCCCACGGCCTCCGTCTGCCAGTCACTGCAGGAGCTGAGGAGAGGTCAGGACCCAACAGGGGTAGTGAGGGATCAGTAACGCTTTGGGGTGGGGCATCTGGAATGCTGGTTTGGAGAACAGACTGATCTCTATAGTAATAATAATAATAATAATAATAATAATAATAATAATAAACTTTATTTTATATAGCGCCTTTAAAGGTGGCTTCTCAAAGCGCTTTACAGGATGACAATCACAATAAATAAGAAGACTACAACAATAAGAAAATTTCACAAGACAGGACACAATTATAATTACAACAGTACAACAATAAAAATAGAGGAGACCGTGGAAGATGGTATTAAGAAGAGCAGAGGGGTGAAGAATGGAACCAGTTAAGTAAAGGCTTTTCTGAAGAAGAAGGTTTTGAGTCTGGATTTGAAGGAGTTTAGAGAAGGTGACTCTAATATCCTTGGGCAAAGAGTTCCAGAGCTTGGGGGCATAGCAGGAGAAGGCCCTGTCGCCCATACAATATACACATCACTCAGGGTGACTCTCTAATATCCTTGGGCAAAGAGTTCCAGAGCTTGGGGGCATAGCAGGAGAAGGCCCTGTCGCCCATACAAGTATACACATCACTCAGGTGGAACCATGACTGCCTACTGCTAGAATTTCCCGAGCAGAACAGCATCGTGCTCGGCCATTATTATGTTATTACAACATCTTCTCTTGTCTGTCTGCTTTGGCTTCTGATCCGTTGTCCGTGTGTCCACAGATGGGCTGCTGAAACGTATCCTGGTCCTCCTGCACTCTGACCTTCACCAGCATGGGATGGTGGATAGCGTGTGCCACCTGGCCAGCACAGTCGTCACGGTTGCGCCCTTCTCCGGGTTGGGGGGCGTGGTCGGGGAGACAGCGCCGCAGGGCATCGCCATGACGACACAGCGCATCAAATCGGGGAAAGTGTTGCAAGAGGTGAGGGGACCCAGCATGCTGGGTTTGGAAGGCTCGCTGGCATGCACTTGCCACCTGAGACAACTGTTTTAAAAAAACAGCTGTAGTTTCATGTATCATTATAATGGTTTTGTGCAGATTTCTCATTTCTTGTGTGTTGACAGCTATGGACAAATAGTCAATCAGAAACAGTTTGATTGCGGTCTTGTTCTATTCTGTAGCACTTAAAACATTGAACCTGACATGTAGGTTTTATTCAGTGTGTATTTGTTATGAAGTGTTCTGTGCTGTGTCTTTCTGCTGGCCAGGAAGAATGTTTCACTGTAGGACAGGATCTCTCAGTGCAAGTGTACGGCAGACCCAGCCAGCCAGGCCTGACAGAACCAGAGCCAGAGGATTCTCAGGTACACACAGCCCTCACACGTCAGTGTTAGATTCCTCAGCTTAATGTACATTACACTTTGAAACAGAACCTGCTTTTCTCCATCTCTTACAATCATCCTGAATTCACCAGCACACACACACACTGTCACACCTGACTGTACTGTAGACACTGCTAGAGCCACTGCTGTCCCTCTCCTCTCACACTCACCCTGAATTCACCAGCACATACACTGACACACCTGTATTGCAGATGCTGCTCTCCCTCTCCTTTTCTCAACGCTACATTTCCTAACACTGCTTGTTCGTCTCGGCTCCGCAGGCTGACCCGGCCGCCAACCTCACGTTCAACCTCCGACTATCAGAGCACGAGCGCCAGGCGAAGGACAACCTGGCCCTGCCTTTCGCCTTCAGCCAGGAGAAGTAAGACTACACCTGCCTTGCCCAGGATCCTTCCAGCATTTTCTTGCTCTCTGCCTTCAAAAACATGAAAGTGAAATGTCACCTACAATCTTATATTGAGCGCTTGCTCATCCTACCCAGCAGTGGTAGAGATTTCCAGTGGATTAACTGCAACAGGTGACAGGTGGTAACTATGTGTTACAGCAGTGCCACCTAGAGGGTGATTTAAGCCAGTGGCAGTCTGAAAGGGGGTGGTGCGGTTGTAATAATATTAATAATAATAATAATAATAATAATAATAATTACTTACACTTATATAGCACTTTTCTGGACACTCCAGTTAAAGTGCTTTACAGGTAATGGGGACTCCCCACCGCCACCAATGTGCAGCCCCACCTGGATGATGTGACAGCAGCCATAGTGCGCCACCATACATCACCTCTCAGTGGGGAGGAGAGCAGAGTAATGAAGCCAATTCGTAGGTAGAGATTATTAGGAGGCCATGATTGATGAGGGCAAATGGGAAATTTTGGCCATGACACCGGGGTAACACCACGTTTTCAAGAAACACCCTGGGATTTTTAATGACCACAGAGAGGCAGGACCTTGGTTTTACATCTCACCCGAAGGACGGCGCCTGTTTACAGTACAGTACCCCCATCACTATACTGGGGCATTAGGACCCACACAGACCGCAGGGTGAGCGCCCCCTGCTGGCCCCACTAACACCTCTTCCAGCAGCAACCTTAGTTTTTCCCAGGAGGTCGCCCCTCCAGGTACTGACCAGGCTCACACCTGCTGAGCTTCAGTGGGCTGCCAGTTGTGAGTTGCAGAGTGATATGGCTGCTGGCAATAAGGCATCACCGTCACTGTGTCTCTCGCTCTCTCTCTCTCACAGGAAGTCGGCGTTGCTGCGGCCCCGTGCCGGCGGCGGGCAGATTCTGTATGAGCCTGACGCTGCCGATGATTTCGACCAGGAGGACCCGGATGACGACTTGGATGTCTGACTTGGAGGAGCCACCTGACTCGAGTAGCTCCTGGGAAGGGAGTCTGTCTGAGGAGTTGTGTCCTTTACTGCTCCTGTCCTGCTCCTCTCCTGAGAAGTCTGCGGTGACATGCCAAGAACGGTCAAGAAAATATTGAACTTGATCTGATGAACTGTGGGACGACCCTGTTACTGCAGGGCGAAAGGTGCTGTTTCACCATATCTGGGCCAAAACGTTGTAGACATGTCATATCCTGAATCTGCTTAATTATAATCACGCCGGATTTTTTCCGGAATGGCCATTTCTGCTCGCAAGTGGAAAAAGAGAGGATTCTGCACTGGTCATGCTGACAGCGCGTCTTTGGAGAACAATAGTCAACAAGAAGCCCACCTTCCTGCGAAGAGAAACACAAAATCTCACCTCCGCATCTCTTTATTGATCTTGATCTTTATTAGATTCTTGAGTTTTCTATCATTTTAAAGGGAGCTGCTCGCTTTCTTTGTTTCACAGAACACTGGTCTAACTAATCCGGAGGTCAGTGAGAGTGTTCAGGCAATGCGCCTGCGGTCTTTACCGTTCACATGATTGTTCCTGGTTGGGGTTTGAGCTGCCTAATGCTGCCAGCTTCTGCTGGGTACAGCAGAGGAGCCCCGACCCCCCCCCCACCCCAGCCAACCACCAGCAGGCTGTAAAACATCCACAACACTGTGCATCTGCCACACCTGTAGTAGGTAAAACTCTTTATATCAACGCCTGCTGCACCCTTTTCCCAGCCCAGCTCCAGAGGGAGATGGACCTGGCAGTTCAAGTCGCCAAGGACTCGGTATTGACATGCGCTGCTTGTGAAATGTTCTTTACCTGCATGTTTCCACCCATTGAAGATTTGTGCCCAGTGGTCTCTGGTCACAAACGTTTGTCCCATTTAATCAAGCAGTGCCCCTGTTCCTCTAATTGCTCTGCTCCTGGTAACAAGATTTTTATCATTTCCATGTTTGCAGTGAGACCACAAGTAAAGTTTTTGTCGTTTTGTTACAAGCTGTGTCAATTAAGGAATGAAAGATGCTGACAACCCTATCCTTATCAGTTTTAGTGCTGATTTAAGTGTGGTTGTAAGATCCCCACGTGTTCTGGGCTGGATGGCGGTTGAAAATGCACAGAATTCACAGCAGCAGTACCTTCCTGCCATTGGAATAGAGACCAGACCTTATGACCTAAGTGGAGTCTGCTAGTTCTGCAGGCTGTCATGCAATTTTATAAACACATGACCATTTCCAGAGGTGTGTGTGATCTAGATGTTGCCTAAAGGGAACTGGATAAAAATAAATAATTGTTTGTTAAGTGTTGTGTTTTGTAATATCCTCTGTTGAATTATGGTGCAGTAAGTGTTTTTTCTTATGTATCTGGTATGGCGTGTCTCCGGATGATATGGTGGCCCTGGGTGCAACAGGTGGTGCTGCATTCTGTGGGTGGTAGTGTGCACGTTTTGCCACCAGGTGGGGTAATTACAATAAGATTAAAAGCAGCAGCAAAGAGTGCTGGGTCATTGTGGACACCAGTCCTCTTCTGGGACCACTTCCTGCCTGCCTGTTGCCCATTAAGTGTTTGTATCCCTAAATACACTGGACACCTGTGTGTCCCTACAGGCTGTTTCTCTCCACACTGGACGACTGTGTGTCCCTACAGCCTGTTTCTCTCCACACTGGACACCTGTGTCCCTAAAGCCTGTTTCTCTCCACACTGGACACCTGTGTGTCCCTACAACCTGTTTATCTACATGCTGTGGCCTGCAGCTGTTGTTACCTGTGTTGTGCTCCATTGAAGAATAACAGTACACAACGTTGAGTCTCATCCCAAGTGTATTGGGGTCACTGTCATAGAAGACTGGTGTACAGTTGCTCCGTTCAAATATGGAAAGTGGGCAAAATGTTGATGGCCATTGTACAGTCACTGAAAAAGGAATGTGGCAAGGAAGAAATAAAGAACCAACTGGATGACCCCATCTAATTTACAACAGTTCTTTGTGTTTCTGTGTTAGAATTTAAGACCAAGTTGTCACACTGAACATGTACTGTTCTTGTGGGTGTTGTTCTTTCCAGTGTTAAAAGTATTTCCACTAAAACGATCTAGTTCTGGGTCTGAGGGTCTCTTTATAGAATTAAATTCCTATTCACGGATACTTGGCTCGTGCTAGCTATGATATCTACATTTTCGACTTTATCTTCTTTTTCTAACTCGAGCTCTGCTGCAGGGGGCTCAGCCTGGTCCTCACCGTCAATGACAATTCCTTCTCAATTGACTCATCTTCTTAAATAAGGGTAAAAATAAAACACAAAATGAAGTAAGAAAATCTTCTAAAGCATTTCTTAGTGAATAACAGATACTTTATACCTTTATATATATAAAGCCTGCACATCTTATCTTTATATAGTACCTTTTATCCCCAGTGACATCAGATGGTTTCATTAATGAAAGTTTAAGTTAATTATGTAAAATAAAAATGGAATAAACCCTGTACTGGGTTTTGATATCTGTCCATCCATGTTCTAACTACTCCCTCCAATTCATGGTCATGGTGGAGCTGGAGCCTATCCTGACAAACTGGCTTATGGTATATCAAAGTACAGTAAGTACAACCTATATGGATTTCAGTAGTATACATTAAAAGCAATGAGTATTTTGTGTTTTAGGAGTATTCATTTTGTAGTTAAGTCAAGAAGCATTCAATCTGTGCTTTTCTATTGACTTGATTTGCCAATGCCCTTTTCCTGGGCAGTGTAGCGAGGTTATGTCACTGTGGAATTCACCTTTTTTATTTTCTAGTGTTCCTAGAGGCATGTGCACATTCATAAACCAATATCCCTTTCACAGACAGTGTTGAGGAAAGTGACTTTTTTTAAAAAACCCACCATACAAGTGCGTAAGAGATGATTTTTAAAAGTTATTGTTCCTTAACTAAATCATTTTTTAAAAATCAGTTATAATTCATTTATGTTCCTTAAATTCATTTTGATTTTATGTTTGCCTAAAGATTTAATAGTAAGGGGTTACTTTCACCAGATACTGATTATAGGTGTTTTGTCAAAATTTCCTCCATGTTTCTTGCTACTAAGAATTTGTATTTCTAGATAGGGCCACAAACCAATGAAAGTGAATAAATACACATATCGCCCTGCAGCTTATAGCCAGCAGCCCCACTGAAGCTCAGCAGGTGTGAGCCTGGCCAGTACCTGGAGGGAGACTCCTGGGAAAAACTAAGGTTGCTGGTGGGAGAGTGGGGCCAGTAGGACGCACTCACCCTGCAGTCTGTGTGGGTCTTAATGCCCCAATATTGTGGGGGTTCACTATACTGCCAAAAGGGTACGGTCCTTCAGTTAAGACTTACTACCGAGGTCCTGACTCTCTGTGGTCATTAAAAATCCCAGGGTGTTTCTCGAAAAGAGTAGGGGTGTTACCCCGGTGTCCTGCCCAAATTCCCCCTGGCCTTTACCAGTCATGGGCTCCTAATAATCCCCCCCTCTGAACTGGCTTCATCACTCTGGTCTCCTCCCCACTGAGAGCTGGTGTGTGGTGAACGTTCTGGCGCACACTGGCTGCCGGCGTATCATCCAGGTGGGGCTGCACACTGGTGGTGGTGAAGGGGAGTCCCCATTACCTGTAAAGCACTTTGAGTGGCACTATATAAGTGTAGGGGGGTATTATTATTATTATTGTTGTTTTCTGTGGAAGTTGAGTATGAGTTAATCTTTTTCAAATTTATTATGAGTAAGAAGCTTTCAGAAAAATCAGTAACTTGAACACACAGGATTTCTGGAAAGCGCTGAATGAATAGTGCTGAGGCCTACATCCCTCGTTATGTCGGTTAGTGACAGCGTGTCTCTTCCTTTAGAAGAAAGTAGTTTCTATTTTTGAGCAAGACTTGTGCGCGCTGTCTGGAACTGAAAGCGCGTCCCCGATTGCCATGGGGCGTGCGCAGGCGCGTCTGTGGAGCGCAGATACCAGCATCTGCGCAGCTGTCCGTTCTTCGAAGGAACTGCCAGACACCACGCCAGCTATTTCGGCGCAGGCCCGTGCAGTTGATCCCAGCGCTGCTTTCGTGGCTGCTGTGTTATATACTGGTATTGCACTAGCATGCATTAAGTACTTGAATCGCTGTCGACGCAAATACAATAATCAGAGCCGTTCTCTTTTGTAGAGCACAACGCGTCTTTGGAAAGGGGTGTGCAGAGGAGCTGCGTGTGACGTCAGGCAGCGGGCAACCCTGCCGCTAACCCTTCTGCCACGAGAACGCGATGAATGTGGGAGCTTTCGGCGGAAGTGACGTCTCGGCGGCCATGGCGGCTCTCAGTTCGGTTCCGGATTCGCTGTGAAGTGGAGAAGCGGTTTTGACTGCTGGACTGGACTTATGTATGGTGTTTTTTGGGGGGGGAAGGAGTGGAACAACAGCAACAACATTATCATTCCTAAAAGGTTCTCGGAACTTTTGGGGGGAATTTGTTTCGGTCTCGGAGCCTACTTGGTCGCTGGTCCTGTGTGCTCTTTTTTTTTGTACTTCATTTTTTAAAGTGAAAGGAGCGCTGGTTCGCCTTCAACCAAACACATACTTGTTTTACCTCCCCCACCACCACCAACCCGCCCGGGAGCGGGTTCGGTTCGGTACCGGCTTCGCCTCCCCCCCCCTCCCCTCTGCCACCTCCGCCTTTGTCAGTGCGCCGGCTGCGAGGTGGTCGCGTCGGAACCCTTTCGTGGCGCCTGATTGTGGTGTTAGATCCTGCGGCCCCGAGTCTGTCGACATGTTCAAGACCCGACAGTGCCTGCTCGGGATCCGGACTTTCCTTGGGGTCACCTCCCGGATCTGGGGATTGATCCTCTATATTCTCAGGAAACACCTTCGCACAGTGAGTAGCAAATTCTGCATGTATCTTCCTAGATGGGGGGCATAAAATAGCTTCTGTCTTCCTTCTCTAAGTCAAATTAGCTGTCAAGCGAAGTGCGGGGCTGCACCATGAATTAGAAACGCGCACACCGTGCTGAGTGTGAACCGTATGTTATGTGCGCACACACACCTTGGAGACCCGGTGCTTATTACAAACGCACCGGTTAGTTTGTAACTTGTGAACTACACGATTTGTGCAACGCGTGATCTCTCACTTCTGTGGAAACTAATCTTGTTTTTTTTTTTAATGTCCTCCTCTCACCTACCCCGGGAGAGCCATCGACGTAAAGTTTATTGCTGCTCAACGATGTGTTCAACTCCGGTAGCAAACCCTCAAGAACTCGAGCCTGGGCTCTTAAACGGCGGTGCTGCCATTGCTCGATCCGAGGGTTGCCCGAGCCCAGCTCGTTGGATTTGGAGCACAGGGCGGAGAGAGTGTGCAAGTTGAGTTTGCGGGGCAGTGCCGCCCCCTCCCAGCGCGCTTTGTGTCATTATCGTGATCTTTGGAAACAAAAAACAACGCCAAAAGCAGTTGCAGGTGGTCATTTCCTAGATGCATTAGCTACACGGGGATTACGGCCTCGCCTCCCTCTTTCGGATTGCGGTATTCTTTTAAAAGAGTGTGAAAAATAATTTAACAACGTGGGTAAGGTCCACGTTTCTAACTTGCTTGCTCTAGAGGCCGGTGTCCGGTCTCGTCCTCTGTACCACAAGCGATCTCGCGTTCTGGTCAGCCATATCCTGACAGGTGCTTTTCCTGGGACCAGGAGTGAGAAAGATCGCGGAGAAAGGGCGCCGAGGAGCTGTTCAGTTTGTTGAGAAGTACGTGATTCCGTGGGGCTATGCCGTGTACGTGTGTAGGCACTCGCATCCGGACTGCGAAATGTGATTTGGACAGTCTTGATCTTGACATGGGAGCCCGAACTTCCCTGCAGTTTTTTTTAAGATGTGTATCTGCACTTCCCCATCAGAGGGCAGAGACTGAGACGGGGGCAGCCTCATTAATTATTTGCAAAGTCCCTCTTTAATTTGGATTTCCATAGATTTAAGAGGTGCATGTGGTAGCACACATTTTGAGTAGTGGTTTTGGGTCAGTTATGTGTGTGTTATAGTTAGAAACGTTAAGCGTTTTGGAACAGACATTGCTGCTCAAAAAGGGGTGCATAGATGAGTAAAAAGACGTATTCTGGCTCTTAAGGGAATGCCAGACACTGTCTGCCTGAAGGAACCAAATCTTTTTAGTCTTTAACAGGGAAGATTTACGACGGGACCTGATACAAGTATTCAAAATCCTCAGAGGCACTGATAAAGTCAAGCCAGTGAACTTGGAACTAACAGGGAAACACAAACCAGAGGCCGGACGTGGGACCTCTGAGGTAGTTTAATTAAAAACTGAGAAAATGAGGTGCTTCTTTACACAAAGGGTTAGATGGAGCTAGCTGCCCAGGCATGTTGTTGAAGCCGTTACCCTGAATCAGTTTTACCCTGGATGGGAGCCTTCGGTTAGGAAGAGGCACTTCTTTGCACAAAGAGTGTGGCAGAAAGTACCCAGCCACGTTGTTGAAGCTGATACCCTGGCTTCTTTCAGGACACTGCAGTTTGAGATCCTGCAATCGATTAACTACTCGCAACCAATTGGGCCCGAGGGACAGTGGCCTCCTCTGAACTTGAAGCTTTCTTAGTGTGTTGAGGCATGTGAAGGACTCTTTTCTCTCCTCGTATCCACACACATGGTTAGAATTACCATGCCTTGACAGGCATGTTATTTTCTTTCATCATCTGTATATTTCTTGTGGCCTCCCAGCTGACTCAGAAAGGGGAAAGTATCTTTAGAATCCCAGACCTTGGTCCTTGTCATGCTGGCATGTGGTTTGCGAGAGAGAGACCCTTTTTTGGAGACTGTCAGAAGTATCTGAGCAGTGGCAGAATAAATGTTACCTTCAGACATAGTGGGGAAAAAAAAGGGTAATTCTTTTCATTCTGCTTGAGTGAAAAGTTTCATCCATTTCTGTCCCCATTCAAGAAGGCAGATTGAACTCCTTAATTGTTATAAATGATTCTAAAATATTGAAAGCAGAAGTGCAGGCCCTCAGGTCAGCTGTAAGATCTGTCGATCAGGGAGCAGATCTTCTGTGAGAGGTTGAATTCACACACTGTTGGACTGCACAGGAGTGAAGAGAAGTTTCCTGATAACCACTTTTTTTCCGCTATTGAAATCAGAAGTGCTCAGCAGCTTCATATGCCCTGAAGGGTCTTACCTCATTTCCAAGCACAATTGCTTAATTGGCCTAATTAGTTCATCAATCTGGGGAAAAAAAGAAGAGGCAGAAACTCCCTTTTGCCTTTTCAGTTATCTTTTAAAAACCTTAAAAAATGTTCCATGTGTCAGCTTTAGTAGATGAGCAAAGACCAGCAAACTTAACTGAGAAACTAAGAAGAGATCATTTAAGGTGCTCATGGACTATCAGGATATGTGCTTAACTAGGAAGTAATAGAGGCTTCTCCAGCAGTCCAAAATAAATGGGTGAAGTGGCAGGAAGATTCGGTGTCTGCAGCAGGAAACGTAGTGTCTTGGCCAGTGTGGGGGTAACTGGGTCACAGCCCATTTTGCTGAAGCTGGTTGTGGAGTTACATTTGCAGCTAGCCTGTCGAAAGATTTTATCAGAGGTGCTCATTTTCCTATTCGTAGTCTTGTTTATGTGGTTTATAAACGTCTCTCTCCGCTCACCTCTTGCTCTTTCTGTCATCTGCCATGAGATTTGATTTGGATCCCATCTTTTGTGATGGGTTCCAAACGTGCAGCTTGTAGAAACCCATTGAAATGGCACAATTTAAAACACTGATCCAGTGTTACCTGAATTGAACGTGTTAAAGAAATCCATAGGACAGGCACTGTAAATGTAACTTGAAGTTTTATGGTAACAGTAACTTCTGTGCTCGTTCTGTCCTGGGTTGTGTTGGCTAGCTTTTCCTTGCTAACTGCCTGGGGATGGCGCTGCAGAGCTGGGAGGTCAAAAGTGTGGGGGGGATAAGTCTTCTATTCTCCGAGTTTAACCCAGTACATCCCCAAGGCCGTTCCCAGGAAACACAGTGTTACATGAGTTTGGTTCCACTACAGAGCTGTGACTTCATCGAGTATGTTGATATTTTTTAAGAGCTTAAAACTAATACCAAAAGATGTGCCCCTGAGGTTCATTTTCTTAGGTCAATCTTTGCCGCCATGCAGAGAATATCCTGTGGTGAGTCATGTTTTATTTGAAGGCTGTCATGATAAATCCTGATCACAGCGCGGCGGACAAATGAGTCATGTTCACCTGTAAACTCCTGGACGAGATTGTCATTGCAGTTAGTAAAGATTCTGAAATGTAGAGAGCAGGGAGCACACAGCCCTGTGTCAGAGCAAGGCAAGACCATAAGAACAAATAAGAAAGAGACCTTTTGGCCCAGATCTTACCCAGTGGATTCTTGAAAAAAAACGGCTTCACAGACATGATATCTCGTTCCATACTCCAACCACTCTTTGTGTAAATAAGCACCTTCCCGTCTCGGTGACATATACAGTACCACGTAGTTTCTATTTTCGCCCTCTGGTTCTTGTTGCACTGTCGAGTCTGAAGATATCCACTGGGTCAACTCTGTCAGTGCGGAGGATTTTGAATACTTGCATCTGGTCTCCTTGTAATCGGCTCTGTTAAAGACGAAAAGTATTCAGTTCTTTCAACCTGTCAGCGTTGGAGATTCTCTTGAGCCCTGGAATGCACCTGATTGCTCTTCCTTGGACTGATTCCAGAGCAGCAGGATCTTGTAGAAAAGATGGTCCCAATAATCTCCAAACTCACAGACTCTGTGTTATGGAGGTTACTGGGCACAAAGGGGGGCTTGTTCCCTCCCTCAGTCCATAAGTGCCTGCATGAGAGACTTTTTGCAGGTCTCTCCTTTGTTTTTTTGCTTGCTAAAGTGAAGCAGAAGTAATGTGCAGTGGTGATAACTTCCTTGAAAAAAGTATGTTTTTCTCTACTGAATTAACTCCCCACCACACGGCTTCCTGCATAACATACTTTATGTATATACTATTCAGTGTTAGAAATCTAAATTCCATTGTTCTAAGTGCACTATACAGTTTATAGCTTGAGTTACCGGTGTGGCAACATTGCTTCTGAAAGAGTGCCAAACAGGTATGTCAGGTTGGAAAACAATTATGTTATTACTTGTTACTCAAGTTACTGCTCCAGAAACGATGTCGAGTCGTCTTTTAAATCAGGGGTGTTTTCTGACTGTGTAGTGTGATGGTGCTTGTATTTAACAAAATCCCTCCCTGTGATTAAACCCAGAGAGGACCGGTTCAGAAGGATCTGGTTAAGGAAGGCATCCTTTTCTTAGAGAATTTTTAACTTTGAGAATAGTAAACTGTATTCTTTAATATCAAGAGCTCTTTTAATGCAGGCTGCGTCTAACTGCAGCTTCCCGATGAAGATAAGAGTTTGGGTTTCTCTGAGAGCTAATTGGTCTTATAACCTCTTCCAGTTGTTTTCTGGTAGATACTTAAGCTGCTTTTAGGAAATGGGCTTGATGGGCAGGAAGGCCTCCTCTAAGTTTTAAATGTTATGTTTTTATGCCCCCTGTTTCTGTGCGGTTGCGTTCCTGGCTCTATTTAAATACATCAGGAGTCAGCTGATTGTGTCAGGGCACGGTCAGCCGGGTTTACTGTTGTGAGAGAACAGAAAGTGCAAGGCTCTGCTCCTGTAGCAATAGTCACTTGTGCTTTAGAAACATCCTCTTAAAGATGTGATAGAAATTGCTGATCCCTGTAAACATGGCCACTGGTGTATGCCATCCCTGTAACCTTGGCTACACCACAGGTGTCTCCCATCCCTGTATCCATGGCCCCTGGTGTCTCCCATCCCTGTA